AACAACAGTAATACTTTTAAAAAGTCTAAAAAGTATTTTTCTTATAAGTATAACCATACTTAAAATAGTGTTTGTAAAGAGTCTTTGAATAAGCTTTGAAAACCACACTGTATCTTTGCATAATTAAATCCTTACCTAAAATAGTTTTGAAGGAAACCAAGCCCATAGTTTGTAGTAAGAGAGGGAGAGAGAGAGAGAGAGAGAGAGAGAGAGGGAGATTCTAGTTAATGTTTATAGTGGGTCTTATAACCAAGCTATATGACTGAATGTACCCCCTAAAACGCTTCATTGGACGTTTTAGTAACAATAGTAGACACTTATCACCTGCTTCAATTGATCGGTTGCGGTTGTAGCTAGCAACCATGGGTGTGGATGTCAACCCCGTATAGATCTACATATATTTATCTCGCTCCAAAGATTAATGGTTATAGTAGTGTGGGTATGTGAAGTGTTTAGACTTAGCTAATGAATATAATCTCGCTAAAAAGACATTAACTAAGGTATGTGAGTAGCTCCCAACCCTAACTTATGTGTAAATAAGTCACTAGGCATAATGAAATTCCCATTATACAAGCGAAGTAATTGGTAAATATGCAAAGTGTAAGGTACTCGCTTTTATAAGGTAGTGCATTTCGAATATGTGACCAATAAGTTTTAAGTTATAATGGTTATAACTTATTTGTATTTAAACATTTTCGTAGACATACATGCATAGTATAAGTTGAAATACAACAAATTTGGTGAATCATTATGACACATTTTTATGACATGCAAACTTACGTAAGAATCACATGCTTTTGTATCATGTAGAATTTGTAGTGTGGACTAGTTATTTCATGATAAAATAACTACCATATATATATATATATATATATATATATATATATATATATATATATATATATATATTATATATATATATATATATATATATATATATATATATATATATATATATATATATATATATATGGGAAAAGTGAATATACCCTTAAGGGTATATAAACTTAGGTACCCAAACTCACTATACTTCATCGTTTTGTATCATACATATACATTGTAATTGTCCAATTTTCTTATAATTCAACTTCTAACTTGATTTACTTCCAAGATTTTTATCAATTTCACATATATATTCCTCTTAAATAATTTTCATTTTCAACTATAATATATATAGCCTATTAGGTGTTCGGCAAAAAGATTTGATGTAAGAGGAAGATAATAATGAAATTTCGAAAATTTTGAAAGTAAATCAAGTCAAGGGTTGAGGTTTAAGAATATTATAATAAATATATTAAACAAAATAACGTATTATAATGGGTTTGGGTACCTAAGCTTATATACCCTTAAGGTATATTCACTTTTCCCTATATATATATATATATATATATATATATATATATATATATATATATATATATATAAAAAATTTTATCTGTAACAAGATGTTACATTATCAAATAATATTTTTATAAACTAGACTTGTTGCATTTTCACATAAAATGATAACTTGTTTGCGTAAACAAAGTATATAGGTACATGTATTCCCCCTGAAATAATTAGAATTAATAAAAAGGGATTGTAAGCACTCACCCTTGAAGCGTGAGTTCGATTTGTTCGGAGTTGGTTCATTCTTGTGAAGCATAACGTGAGAAACCGCAACTTTACAACTCTTGAACTTTGAAAAACTTATGGTAGAGTTTAATAATAATTTAAACTAAAGGGACTATTTTTGCAATGGGTAAATGAAGTAGGACCTGGTTTGTAAAGATTTCAATCTAGGGGGCTAATTTTGATTTAAATAAAACAAGTGATGGGTTGGTTAGTGATATTAACACACCATGTGGTTTGTTTTAGCCAATATTAAAAACGATAGGAAGGATTATCATCCTCATCAGATCGCTGAAGAACTAAATGAACAAAAGGTAGAAATCAGGAAGATGAACGGGATCAAAAAGTAAAAGCGACAAGGCCTGCTCCGGCGGTCTCTTGGCCGCCACTTTTCCCATCCGACAGAAACACGCAAAAAGGGAAGTAGTGTTGATCGAGATCGAACAATCAGTCAATAAGTATGGTTTGGGGGTGTTCGACTAAGAAACTAATGGAGAAAGTCGAAGGCAGCTCGGTGTCAATCGGTGGAGGCAAGGCAGGTTGTGAGGAGGGCAGTCGTCACTTTCCGACGAGCGCTCCTCTTTTTACACTTGTTATGTTGCCAACAGTAGTAATCTAGAAGGTGTTAGCTCTGATTAGCAAGAAAAAAAAAGATAGTGGGTATCCGATGGCGATTCACGAAGTAAAAGGAGAGGCTGAGATAGCGATCATCGTCGTCTGTGGTGGGGAGGGAGGATGCTCCGACATCTCCCTTGTTCTTTGTTCTTTCTGATTTGGTGGTACACACACAAAAGGAAAGCAAAAACATCAAGGGGTGTTTTTGGTTGCTGTGCTCGACGAGAAAAAGGTGGAAAGGTAAGGAGAGGGTTGTCAAGGCTGGCGACATCCACCAGTTCTCCTTCTTTGGCCGGCGATCAATAATTGAGAAGGAGAGGTGAAGTGTTCCAGTAAAACAAATGATAATGGTGTACCTCTCGTAGCTTTCAATACAAGCAAATCATCAAAAACATCTTTGACTTTTAAAATATATTTTAGGAATAAATTTGTAATATATGTTTTGTGATATAAATCCCGTTTTCTCAATTCTCGTGCCACCACATCGTCTTATGAAATTTTTCTGGAAGTGCCTTCTTTTTTCCCAGTTGGTGGTGATTCCAGAAATGCTGATAGGATTCAAATATGATACACAGAACTCGGTGAAATAGCTTTCAAAGATTCGCGTTTAATTAACTTGACACGTCCGATTTTACAACTTTTACAAATATTTTTTCTTAAAATATTTTGATTGTGAAATTAAATATTAAACCATATCCTGAATTCAAAAATGCTCTCAAAATTTCCATCGGAGATGTGCAAGTGCCACAACGGATAGAAACGGTTTTTGTAGTTTTAAGAAAATCAATATTATATTGGTGTGGATTCTTAAAATGGTCGTATCTTTTTCATACGAACTCCGTTTTGGATGTTCTTTCTAATTTTCTGCGATAGGGGAACATCTACTACGAGACTAGAGTGTTTGTTTCGCTCACAACTGTTTGATACAAAATTTCAGTTTTTCGAATGCACTAACTAGGGTCGCAGTTTGAGCTATTTGATTCATTTGTCGGTTTACCCATCTGGAAGTAAGATATCATCTGCTATCTTATAATAATTGAAATGAACTCATTTATTTTACATAAGACGCACTAAAACTCAATGAATCAAATTAAAAAAAGATTTACTGTAAATTAATCGTTCACAGTCTTTAACCTAAACTCTAGGATGCCACATGTTATCTCGATGTTCTTCTCAAAAACGATCACATTCTCACATCAAAACCGGAATCACATATCAAGGTGAGCGGGCCCCTCTTTTAAGCATTTTAATATTTGAAGGAGAATACATATGAAAATTTTAAATTGATTATGAAAAACACATGCAAAAATCATATCTATTTATAATTATTATTTTGGCAAATAACATATTTTTTACACATAAAGTAGTCACTAATCAAGATAATATATCATTTTACCTTCAACAAGGTTATGATTTTATGTTGTAAAAAGCATGTCGTAAGTTGTATGTCATAAAAGTTTACCACCTTTTTAGTATTCAACTTTTATATATATATATATATATATATATATATATATATATATATATATATATATATATATATATATAACTTGGAAGTTAAGCATGTCCTTGTAATGTTTACAACATATTTAAGCGAGTACTATACACTATTACATATATACTTATCGAACATACTCGACTTCTATAGTAAAACTTTATTTGTGTACATTAGTTAATAACTTTTACACTGAGATGTTAATCATTACCTAAGTATAAACATTTAGTATACCCACTCAACTGTATCCGTTAATCATTGGAGCGAGATACATATGTATAGATTTATATGGGTTAACACCCCCACCTGCGGTTGTTAGCTACAACGTTGATGGATCAATTGAAGTGAGTGATAAGTATCTTGAGTCTTTATCCATGATGTCCAATGAAGCGTCGTAGGGGGTTATATCTAGTCATATAGCTCGGTGATAGGACTCACTATAAATATTAATTGGGTCTCTCTCTCTCTCTCTATCTACAAACCATGCACTTGGTTTTTCTCACTTCAAAACAGTTACAAGTATGGTTTTACTTGTGGGAAAACACCTTTTGTTTTTCAAAGATTCTTTAAAGGCTATTTACAAACTCATTTTTAAGTATTGTTTTCCTTACAATGAAAATACTTTTCGATCATTTTAAAAGTATCACTACTGCTCTAGTGGAAAACATGTAACTCTCACCAACCTTGTGTTGACCCTCAAAACAAGCTTTCTAGATTTTTGTTATATCGGCTTAACTATTTAAGGCAATTTATGTACTATATTATTATCTATAAGTACCTTGTATCCAAACCTAAAGATGGAATACAACTATTGTTTGTTTATTATTGTACTTGTGCTATACATTCAGTTTACTTGTGATCCATGAACTAAGTCGCGCAGTCCGACTTGTTCCACCGCCTCAATCGGGGGTTGTGACAAACACCCATGTAGATAGTTTTGAGTGTGTCACAATCGTCTTTTGTTGTCTTCTTCTTCGCTAAAGACAACAAAATATAACCAGGTATTGCTTGGAATGTGATAGCCATCACAACCCTATCGTTCTTGAAACCAACCGGATTCTGAGGGTGTTTTCGTTTAATTGTTTCCTACACTTCTAAAGCCTGCATCGAGCCTTCATTTTTATTGCTAAGATAACGTAATTGCTCCTGGTTAACGAAGGATATTGGGGAGAAAACAAGCCATTTTTCTTTTGTCCATCAATATCAATAAAAACAGGTGAATATGGTTTGATCTGATACCAAATGCACTCAAACAATCTAGAAATTACCTTGATCCAAGGTACACAATAAGAACTAAAACAAAAGAACACATGATAATGGAAGAAGAACAAGGAACAAATAAATTTCTAGGAAAATTGCTTTGTTTCTAAGCTTTATTGAGGAAATCATAATAAAAAAAATACTAAAACATTAAAAACATAACCCCACTTACACTAGACATAACTGAACTCTAAAACTTTAAATTAGGAAAGATTTCCTAAAATTTCCCAAAATACCTCTGGATTATTTTTGTCCTAGATTTTGAATTACTCCAACAGGTTCCACCTAGCCGACCACCTATGACAATTTTTACAACATTGGAAAGTAGTTGAAAAGAAACAAGATTACATTTGCAAACTAAATTTGGCACATAACGGAGAGCATATGTATGACTTTTCATTAGTTTATATCTAGATATAAATCACCTTGTTCAAGTGAAAATTTTGTGATATCCTTTTATCCATTAACTGTGTGGAATATCATATAAGAACTAATTTTATCCAATGTGTTATGTTTTTTCAATTGTAATTATTATGATACGATGAATGTTCCATTCCATATAAAGTCTAATACTCAACTTCTAGTGACCAATATCACACCTTTTTCCTAAAACAAGTTAATTGGGTGAACTACCTTATGTGGTAGCATCATGTGCTGCTATTGAGGATTATGAGTTAATGAAGGTTTATAGGTAAGGACATATTATATATAGAATGAAATATATAGTTGTTAATCTTGACAATGTTTTTTCACTTTGTAGAAGGCCAAACTATAGTATTGTGTTACCTCGCTATTTCCCTAGATAACCATAAAATTAAGTTTTACTTATTCATCAATTCCTCCTTAGCTTTGATGTTTTGGTTGGTTATCCATTATTTATCTGCAAAATTCAAGGATAAAAGGAGCTCATCTTAGTTTACACAAATATAAACATCTAGCATCTAATCAAATTGAACAGTAGATATAACATCATGTCCTTACAATTTAAATCAAAGAAACATAAAAATAATATTCAAACTTACTTGAATTTTCAAGGCTTCCTTAAGTTGGATTAGAATCTCAGCACTTGTAGGTCGTTCTTCTCGAGTTTTATGCAAGCATTGGTATGCAATAGCTGAGAACTTGCTTAATGATCTTGTATTGCTTTCTATCTTTATCCTGTGATTAATAATCTTATCCAACTCTCCATTTTTGTACCGAATTTGAGCTAAATGATGTAGGAACCGACGCTCATCATGGTAGTTAAAAACACATGCCAACCTTCCACACATAACTTCAAACAAAACCACACCAAACGAATAAATGTCCGACTCTTTTGTTAAAAACCCTGTTCTTTCATATTGTGGGTCAATATAACCATATGTGCCGGCAGGGTTAGTGATCACAAAGGTATTTTGTTGATTTGCTAAACCTATTCTAGCTAACCCAAAATCGGAAAGTTTTGCATTCCAATTTGCATCCAACAAAATATTCGCGCTTTTCACATCACGATGGATTATTCTATGTTTTTCGGCCACTTGGTTATGAAGATAGTCTAATGCAGAAGCAACACCAACACATATTTTAAGAATTATGTGCCATGGCAGTGTATATGCCATGGTACTATCACTTAAATATTTGTCAAGGCTTCCATGGATTGCATATTCATAAACAAGGATCATTTCATTGTTATCATCACAAAACCCTATAAGTGTTATAATATTTTTGTGTTGATACTCTGAAAGCATTGTAACCTCTGTACGGAACTCCTTGTTACCCTGAAATCCGGTCACATCTAGCCTCTTTACAGCAACCAATCGATTTACATGACTTGTCCATGTGAGGATCCCAATATAGACCTTTCCATAACCACCCTTCCTAATGAAGTTTCTTTCACTAAAGTCTTGGGTACAATCTTTTATTACATGGAAGGGTATTTTGAGGTCAGTTAGTTGCTGCAATGGAACATAATAATATAAAATAATTAATATTCAACACAATACATATATATATATATATATATATATATATATATATATATATATATATATATATCGTAATAACCTTATAAAGCATTTTTGGTCAAATGCTGAATTTTAAGTCGTACAAACATACAATGCATTTGTACAATCAATTTATGCATTAAAAAAAGAGTAGAGTACATATGGTCAACAGTTGAAAATGTCAAATATCTTATCCCATATTCTTAGGCTACTTTGACTCAGTTCATTCCTTATCTTCGTATTTTCCCAAATCTCGCAATTTCTGTTCACAAATCTTGGATATATATCGCTGATGTTTCCATTTTTAGGGTTTAATTCATCTTTCAACATTCAACCACCATTGTCACACCCGTCGCTTGGCGCGGGTAAACGGCTAGTGTATATATATATATATATATATATATATACACACACACACATACATACATATATATATATATATATATATATATATATATTACGATAAATACCGAGGAATTTTATTAACTATTCACTTCAACATTATACACTCTTGTATGTTGGGTACATGTAATGTCGCATTTTTTCGTTACTAATTCAGGAAGCAGATTTATAAATTAATAAGAATAATCACATAATTAGGGATAAACGTTCAACCCTAAACATACGATTTGAGTGGCAGATTTAGCAAAATGAGAAGAAGAACAAGGGAGGAAAAGGGAGAATGGGAGGAGGTAACTCCAACGTTGTCATATGAGTTTGAGGTAACCATGTTGTGTTACTTTCATTCCTATCAATTCTTTTCTTTGTTTTCTTTTCCCTGGTATGTGTTGTTAAAACAAAGATAAGACTACCATTGACCACCACAACACCACCATTAGATAAAAAAAAATAAGTGGTGGTTCTGTATAAGGCCTTAATTTCTAGTTATGGTGTCATAAAGGGCTCAATGGGTTAAGATGGAAGTTTGACCTTGAAGTATGTAAATATTTAAATGGATAGTAAAGACTTATTTTCATATTTCTATAAATTCATGCATTAAGACCTTGGAGTAAAGAAGATTAATACAATTTGGAAACCTTATATGTAACCAATTATGATGCCTACAGTGCAAAAACTGAAGCTTAACTAGTAAGTCCCTAATGAGACACCAAAAGTGACATAAAACTTATTATGACCAATCTTTCCAAATCTTCCATTCAACTTCAAAAATTCGTACAAGGCAATCAGATTACCTAAAAATCATGAGAATTAGTTTCTTGAAAACTTAGTGTGCCTTCGTTTTGCAAAATTTGAATTGTTTTTCATCATTCCAAATCCTTGAAGCGTAAAATGGTTAATCTTCTCAGATTGGTCTGTGTGGTCACATATTTCATGCATTGTCTTCTAAAAATTATAATAAATTCATTGAAAGTCAAAATGCCAAAATTATAAATCCTAGTTAGATATGGATGTATAGTTTCTTCCATATCAAGGGCTTAATGTCATTCTTTGTGTACAGAGTGGTGTGGTAAACGATTAAAATTATACATTAACTTGTGACATACATAATTAATTTTACAAAACTCTAATTCATGAAAAGTTAGAGGCTATGGTTAGGGTATATTGTCTAGTATACCATGAATTTTTCGTAATAATTAACTTATATGTTACTAGATTAAAGGCTACCACCTTTACAAGTAGGTCCAGAAAGTAACATCTCAAACTTGATAACTTGTAAAATTAATATAAAATCAACAAATCATTAGAATAAGATCTTTATATTCCCGAAAAGGTAAGAGAGAGAACTATACAAATATAATTTAATCTGAACATAATTATGAGTTTAAAGTTAAGAAATCAGATCCCAATAAACCAATGAACCAATCTTTTTTTTCAACTTTTAAAGCTTACTTGTTTTCAATAAAAAAAACTAATAATACATAAATTGATAACTTTTAATCCTTTTTTTCCAATGATATCAAATTTGTTGAAAAAAAAATATTTTTTTTCGGCAAATTCGAAATGTGAATCTGTGTAGCTTCACAATATGAATCTGAATTCACACGGTGAATCCGAAAAATATATTTGAATTCACAATGTGAAGTTATGAATTTGGATAATTTTAGGTTTTTTTATAATAGAAAATAAATTTTATAACTTGAAAAAATGTTTAGTTTCTTGGAAAACTATTTATAATGGTTCTCTATTTAACTAATATATATATATATATTATATATATATATATATATATATATATATATATATATGAGAAAGTTCAAATGAGAATTATTATGAAATCGAAAACAGAAGAACAAATCTAAGCCACATATTTCTATTTGCCGCAAAAACCTCCAACATACAGACACGACAGATAAATACAACATTGATATGTGAATATAAAGATAAGTATATTCTACCATATTGCAAATCTATCGTTTAAGCTTTTCAGTGTATCAGGACGACGAAACAGATACTATTCATATATGAATAATTGTTTGAGAATATGCATCTACTTATTCATATATTAATATACTTTATATATTTATATATGAATATATTTATTCACATATCAATATTACATTCATCCGTTGTGTCAGTACGTTGGAGGATTTTGCGGCAAAAAGAAAGATATTTGCCTGATTTGTTCTCGCATTCTGAATTATATAATTATTCCCATTTGAATATATATATATATATATATATATATATATATATATATATATATATATATATATATATATATATATATATATGGTAAAGTGAATATACCTAACAACCTTATATAAACTTAGGTACCTAACTTCATCAAACTACATTATTTTGCATTAAATTTTCATTGCAATCATCCAAGGTTCTTAAACTTCATACTTAAACTTGATTTACTTCAAAAAAATGTTGGAAATTTATCATTATATTTCTTCGACATCTTTTCATTTGTAGTGGTAGGATATGAAGCCCAGTAGGTGGTATTTGATAGAAAGACGTGATGTAAAAGAAAGATATTGGTGAAAGTTCAAAGATTTTGGAAGTAATCAAGTTATGGGGTTGAAGTTAAAAAACCTTAGGTAATTACAATGTAATTATGATACAAACCGATGTAGTATTATGGAGTTAGGTACCTAAGCTTATATAAGGTTGTTAGGTATATTCACTTTACTCATATATATATATATATATATATATATATATATATATATATAATATATATATATATATATATATATATATATATTATATATATATATATATATTATATTATATATATATAATTATATATATATATATAGGCTTAGAAAATATGTGGCTGTCATTTACCTAACGTTAGATAAAGAACCATACAAAACTACATAGTTTTAACAAAATGCGATAAAATCTCTCTACCATCTTTCTTGCATCCACTATTAGAGCTTATGCTAAGCTTTGTATATATTTTTATGGAATTTTATAAATTTAATTTTGCACCACAAACCATGTATAAGAATATTTTAGCAACTACTTCTAGGTCTTCAAATTGAAATTTAATACAGAAATCTACATTGAAAGATTGAAATTGTTCATTAAAAAATCCACTAAATCGAAACACAGGATTGTCATAAGGATATGAATCTTATCTTTCTTATTTTCTATTTTTTTTATTCTTTTTTTTAATATATACATAAGCTATAGCTAATTTAGATATACATTGATTATTCTGTTGAAAAAAAAGTGTAGTGTAGGTAGCTAGTATTTATGTATGACATAATTTTGTATTTTCAGATGCAAACTTGGTTTATTTTTGTATTTAGATTTAACATGGAAAGCATTAAGTCCACACACATTGATAAACTAAAGAAATCATAGAATTAATGATTAATTGTTCATCGGGGGTATGCTTCGATGAGGATCCTAAAATGTCCCAAAGAGTGAAAGAGATGCTGTAAAATAAGACGATTGACCTGTTTCGTCCGGGGCATAGCAGCAGCATCATTGTTGAGCTTGGGGAGGTTAGTAGCGAAACGAACCCTTCGTTTTGGCTCCTTTATGACAATATCCCTGGTATTATTTCCCCATCTGTGTAATGCCGCTCCTGAATCATGCTTCTGATGCACTTCCTCCAAATTCTCGTGAAAATTATAATTCAACATCCCTACAAAACACTAAATAATCAATAATGATTCTTGGACCAATAGTATTTATATATAAATATATATATATATATATATATATATATATATATATATATATATATATATATATATATATATATATATATATATATATATATATATATATATATATCAAGGTTATAAAAATCGTTCGTCGTTAGATAGTCGGTGGATTTGGGTTAAGGGATTAATCAGCTAAGCAGAGATTAATCGAGGAATTAATCAGGGAATATTAATTGGGGAATATTAATTGCTAATTTGATAGATATTAAAAAGTTAAATATGATTAATATCATATAAAAGTTCATAAATACCACTAATATCATAACAAAATAGGTTAATATGATAAATACAACATTAATAATTAATACCTCAAATAGTTTATATTGAGATAGAACTTCTTCAAAGTATTAAAATATCTTCGGGTTCTACTGTTTCAATCATTTTATATGAATGGATTAATCGCTAGGCGCTCTGTAATCGGTCGAGTGGCGCCATGTGATTAATCGGGACCTAATCAGGATTTTTACAACACTGATATATATACATATAAAAGCTGAGGTACTTAAACTTACCATAGTACGTTATTTTATATCATATGTACATTATAATCGTCCAATATTCTTATAATTCAATTTCTAACTTGTTTTATTTTCAAGATTTTTATAAATTTCACAATTGTCTTCATTTTACATAATTTTGATTTTCATTTATAATATATATAGCCTACTACATGTTCGGTAAAAAGATGTGATGTAAGATGAAGATAATAGTGAAATTTAAAATATCTTGAAAGTAATCAAGTTTGGGTTAAAGTTAAAGAACGTTATAATAAATATATATCAAACAAAACGATGTATTACGATGGATTTGAATACGTAAACTTATATATACTCGGGATATATATATATATATATATATATATATATTATATATATATTATATATATATATATATATATATATATATATATATCCCGAGTCAACAACAAAAAAGTTAAAGGGGAAATTAACGAGAAAGTACCAAATTGAAGAAATTATTAATACGATGAACGCCACTTAGTCTCAAAAAAAGATTAATTCACTGAACTAAATAGTAGTGGAGAACAAGGAATAGAGAGAGATATTAGGCAGAAGAAACAGCTTTCCGTTAATATCCATTACTCAGAATACAAAGTTGATATGGAAATCACAAAGTTGATATAGAATCTCTAACAATGGGGGAGGCACCTGATTCTTGCTAATTAATTCGTTTTTAACCTGGTGGCTATCCCTCTCACAAGTCACATGCAACGGCTCAACAATTTATTCGTTTAATATTAATCCATTACTAAGTGATGAGTATCAGGTTCGTTATCTATATAATTTAATAAAAAAAAAGTGAACCGGCATATATACTTATCTACTACTTTTATGCAATGACATTTTAATACGAAATGGTTTCATAGATCGATGAATATAGGTTATTACAAGAAAAGTCCTTATTAGTGACGACCTAACATTAGGTCACTCAAAGCATCTTTTAGCCACTACTAAGAATTAATTGGTCATTGAATTTTGATAATCCTACAAATTTTATGACGAATTATATGTGGTGGTCACTAACTCGATCACTAAAATGCAAAAAAAAATGAAACTGTTTTTGTTTCATATCGTAAGAACTATTTAGTGATTAAAAATAATTATCACTATGTTAACTATGTAGTGACTAAGAATAATGATCAATATTTAAGAAGCTTCATGACAAAAAAAAGTAGTAATTCTATTAGAGGTTTAGTGACAAAAAATAATGATCACTTATTCAGAACTACACGCCTACTCTTTAAATGGGAAAAAACAATTAGTGACCACTCAATAATCGTCACTGATGAATTACAAGAAAAAAAACAATTAGTGATTATAAAGTAATAGTCAATATATATATATATATATATATATATATATATATATATATATATATATATATATATATATATATATATATATATATAATTTTCAGTTAATGAAAACTAAAATATTTTTAATTAATATTTTTTATTTTTGAAAATAACTACAGTTTTGTTTTCTTTTTATTCATAATTTTGTAAAGACTCGTTACATTATTGATGGATCCTTATCAAACATGTTTACTATAATAGTATTTGGAAAAAGTTGAAAAAATAAAAAAACAAACACGTTAGAAAAAGTTCTAGTTGTATTTATATTTTGACTAAATAATGAGACTTGACTAATTTTGACTATAGTTGATTAAGTTTTCCCAAGTTAATTATACAGATAATTTTTTGTAAACACGATTAATTGGTTTCGTAAGGAGGATAAACAAGGCCGATAGAGAGTACTATGCCCTAAATCGATTTAACACATCTTTTTTGCCCTAAATCGATACACCAACAATCTCCAGTTTGACAGCATCGCCATGACCCATCATCCCCGGACCATCATCGTCAGTCCATCGTCGCTCCACACCCTCCGGTCCCATTGACGCACCTCTGTTCTCCACCTC